AAAGTGGGAACATAAGATTCCTCCATCTCCTGAGCATTTTACATATAGGCAACACACATAATAAATGAGATCTAGAAGATTATAATCATCAGCCCTATCCAGGCATAAAGGTTGCACTACTTCATTCCTTAACTATTTTGTATAAACTATACAGATAAAGAAAGATGCAAGATCAGAGTAATTATGTATCAGATGCATATCAGATGAATGAACCTATATTTAGAATTTAGCTGGATTACATTCTGTTCATGACCCTGGTAAACTGTAATATCAAATGGATTGGATAGATGTATTAAATACCTATATTCATTTAAATGAGTATATGCTATGGCTGGGTTAGTCAATACTGTTACTACTCTCTTAAGAGGCAATGGTTGTTCTAAAATCAATGAAATGTATAGAGAGGAGAGCTGGTTGGATTAGATAGTGGGCAACAGCTATGTTTCTCCCTTTTATAATCCAATTTTTTGTTTAAAATCTTTGCCAGGAAGCATTTCTTTTAAACCTAAAAGACCTGATACAGTATTTGTATTTGAAATTCTTATTTAGGTGCTTGTATATTTTATGTCTTTTTTGCTATAATATTTATATTTTAATGGTGCTCTTTGGAACTGGTAGTTAAAAATGTGCATAATTATAAATATAATTAATCATCTATCAGTTTTAATAAGAATTATTTTGTGAACACTTATATTGGCAAAGTGAATAACAATCTTATGCGTGTTAGTAATTTTGCTGTTACATTTATGTTATGGGTTTTATGTTAATCCAGTCTCTTCATTTTCTCATAATTGTGGTTGTGAGCACAATTTCCCTTGTTGGTAGATTCATAACAAAATTTAGTTGAACTGCTTTCTTTTTATGAGGTAATTTGATTTTGGAAGTGACAAGGATCATGGGGTTGAAACTCATTTTTCAGCAAACATATTGGACTGCATTTCTTGCTTACTGTGGTTTGAGAACTTTTTAAGGAATTCATCAGTATTGTTCTATTTTATTCATTGCAGTTTTAGTTTTATTAGTTTCTCTTATACCTGTGAAAATATAGAGAAATATGTGAAATTTTAAGACTATTTTTGTGCATTATCATGATTACAGTTTGAAATTATGTGAAATTGTGGCTCTGATTGAATTAGGTAATCAGATCCTGGCTATGCACAACTATGCATCCATATGGTGTCTCTTTTGCTGTTGTGTTTCTTCTACCACATGAATCAGTAGGAAGCTGCTTCCCATTAATGCAAACTGTTTTATAAAAGCTTTTAATTCAGACAGTATGGAAGTTAGCTTAGATTGCAGATAAAAGTTTGTAATTTCCTGGGTTCTTCATCCCTTGCATGAAGGGAAAAATGGCCATACCAAAGGATTTCTATGTTGGTATATGGAATTTAACTTAGCCAGAATTCAGTTTTGTAATGTAGCAGTATAAATAGACAAACTCCAGACAAAACTAATAAATATTTGTTCTTACTAGAGTAAAAACAAAGTAAGATATATCATCAAAGTTTCATTTTGAATGTACAACTGTATAATACTTATTGTATGTAGAAATAAAAGTGAGTAAGAACAGAAAAAGTAGACATACATAACTCGACTTTTGGTGGAATACACTTTCCTTCTCAAAAGCAGAATGCTACTGAACGCTAATGCCAGACTCCTTGGAAGAGAAAAGCCAAAATATAGTTTATTTGCAAGAAAATAAAGTATACATTTCTTTTTAACATACTTGAATCCATTAAAATATAACAAGCATAAAGATTCACAGAATATTGATTTGCAACTAAGGTTGCATGATGTATGCTTGAAAAATAAGTGTTTATGTTACAGTATGGATGTTAATCTTATTGAGACGTTTATTTGAAATTCAGTGTTTTGTCAGGCTTTGAATATAAGGAATGCAATAAACTAAAAAGTTATGGGCTTGCGGTTGTAAAAATAAGGTCAGGGTTTTGGGATTGTGTATTGTATGAGACTGCATCTGTCCTTCTCCACCATGTCCATAAATTCTGCCTGCCCTTTTCAAAATCAAAAGAAATAATTTACTTGGGTTTGGTATTACAAGAGATAATTAGACTGGGAAATAAATTGCTCTACAGAATGAAAGTAGGAAGTGGCTGAGAGGGTGAGAAATTGCCTAATCTCTCACACTTCCGAAGCCTGCCTTATCTTTACATTTTTATTAGCATATAGCGATAGAAGTAGAGAGAAGTATTCAAAAGGACTGATTTGCTATTTAGTGAAGCCATAGTGCAGCCTTTGAATAATTGGAAACGCTATTGGATTTTATGACTTGCACTTACATATTGCAGCAGGCAGAAATCTGTACTGAAATAAATTGGCCAATAAAAACAGTTGCAGAAAATATTTCATTATGAATGTTTAGGATATTTAATAGAAGGAAGACATGATAATCCCTTGTTATGAAAGGAACTTTCTAATATCAAGGCCATATTACCATTCTGGTAATAATTTTTAATATAAATATTGGAAAATGTCACTAAATAGCAATGCTCCTACACAGATTTAAATCACTGAATATTTTTTCAGTATATGAACCAAAGTTTTCAGTCTGATTTTGTATTATATTCTCAACCCACAACATACTGGTATACAGGTAGTCCTCGCTTAACAACCACAATAGGGACCATAAAATTTCTTGTTAAGCAGGGCGGTTGTCAAACGAGTCGTGCCCGATTTTATGACCTTTTTTGCAATGGTCATTATGTGAATCACCATGGCTGTTTAGTGAACCATGCAGTTCCCCATTGATTTTGCTTGCTGGAAGCAGGCTGGGAAGGTCACAAATGGCGATCACGTGATCCTGGGATGCTGCAGCTGTCGTAAGTGCAAGCTGGTTGCCAAATGGCCAGATCAGGATCACATGACCGCAGGGGTGCTGCAATGGTTGTAAGTGCGAGGACCAGTGGTAAGTCCCTTTGTTCAGCATGGTTGTAACTTTGAATGGTCACTAAGCGGATGGTCATTAAGTGAGGACTACCTGTAGCTTTTTAAAAAATATTACCTACCAATGGAAATAATTTTAGTCTAAGTTCAGTAATTTATTCATGTTGAAATAGTTTAGGATAGAATGTGTGTCAATACCTGATAAGTTTGGAGTCTTTATATTTCAGTTTGTTATTGACAGTCTTAAAAATGTGTTTACCAACAAGATAGTGTTCTAAAAATAGTTCATTATAGTTATTACTATGTTTTTCTTCATGTTTATTATTTCTTTAGATACTTAATGAATACTGTATTCAGAGTGGAAAATTCTAATACACTTGCAGCTGTCATTTTGTTCCTCCGAAACAGATTCTATCTGTGCGTTAGCAACTAACTTAATGGACCACAACTGATGCACAGTTTGATCTATCTTGTTAATAAAACCAATTTTAAAAGGATTTTGATTGTGCAAAAGAAAAAAACCCTCTAAATATTCAACACTCAAAAGTGAAAACTAATTAAATTCTCACCTGCTTAAAACCCATAAATTTTGGGAGGAAAGGGCACCTGAAATTCTTACTAATATAATTAATTTTTCTATTCTGAATTGTACCAGTAGTAAGAGTGACCTTATGGCAACTGCATAGTGCTGTATGTTCTGAAATTCTTTATTTAGATATCTGCATACAAAATAACATACCAATATGTACTTTTGCAAATAGTTTAATTTTAAGTTCTAAAATTTTTTGAAATTATTGCTTTGATGTTTTATACTATATTCTAATATTCTTATGGAACTATGTTCCATTGGATTCAGCATGGCTTACTTTAGAGTAAGGTTTAAAATTTCTGTTTTAAGACCGCAAACATACTTAGGAGTAAGCACTATTAAAAATTGTGTAGCTTGTTTCCACCAGTATTGGGCTTAGGAATGAACAAACATGTAATGTATAAATGTATTTTATATCATTTTTAATAATAGTTATAATAGTTACCAAGCAGTGTTTGTGTATTTACTGTAGATTTTATATAGATTATGCAACAATAATATTGTTATTAAAAAGTGTGGAACTTTTTAAAAGTTCTTCATAACTAGAATCCAAAGATAAAGAGTATAAATTTTGCGTATTTTGTTTCTGGACTTCATGTACTAGGTCACATTTTTTGTTAAACTGAGCAAACTTTTAAAAGTAGTTTCTGATACAGGCTGAAGGAAAGAAAGAACATGTCAGCCTTTGGTTTTCTTAAAATGGTTGTGGGCTTGTTTGTATCATATCTATTGATTTTAGTACAAATTTACTTCACATTAAAGCATTATTCATGGTATCTGAAGCAAAAATAAGTGTTCCATGTGAGCATAGCACAGTTGTGTAACTGTGTGGTGAAATGTTCAGTAATTTTGCTATGGAGTGATTTTGATATTTCACAGTGACAACCACTTATGTGGCTGCTGCTTATAAATGTCCTGCATGACTGCATTTAACCGAGTGAGGGTCAGTCATACTTGAGTGCCAGCTATGTTTAGAAGTGAGCCAAGCTCATCTCACTTTTCCACATTTCTCTTAGTTCATATGCATATAATCTAGTTGTCTTTCTGTTTATCTAACTTTTAAGCATGAACAAAAAGGCTATATACATGCAATGAACTGTTTATAATTTGTCAGATTAATTTCTGTTTTTAACAGTTGTGTTATTTAGCTGTCAGGATAGTTTCATTTTTTTTTTAATTAAAGTGGTTAAACAATGTAACAAAATGATCTGGTTGATACATAATCCTCTATGTGCACTTTCTTGAATGGTGATCTGAAAAAACATTCCTATTAATGTTTACTTTTTACAAAATTAGGTATCTATATTTTCCTGTAATATTTATTCTAAAATGATCAACCTGCAATTCGGAGGATTTTCAAACAATCCTTGTTATTTCCATTTTTAAATTTTATTTTTATGCTGAAATAGATTTGATGTGCGCAATTTGTGTATGTATAGTTAAACCACCATTTTTGCTTGCTGTGGGATCTAGCAAAATCTACATCACAAATTTTAACACATTACAGCTGAAGGAAGAGGAGCACCTCGCCAGAAAAGAAATGTAACTACGTGGAAAGAGGCTTGTCCAGCAGTTTGCTTCTTGTGATCGAACAGAGCTGTAAAGGATTCATGGATAAATTGAACAGGAATAGATCTGAATAAAGCAAATCTGCATATATGGTAACCAGTAGCTCTCTTACTTTTTATGTTGCTTAGCTGTTTTATTTGAAGGAACCTGTGTGATTTAAAACATATAGCTTTTTGCAACTTTATTACTGGTTATATACATTTGATAATTAAAATGTGCAGGCAATTGGAAAAAAGTCAAGTAAATGCTTGTTTTTATAGTAGTTGGTTCTTGTTTAAATGTTCAAGATAATGTCTGTAAAGCGCACCAATTTGATTATAATAGATGTAGTGTTGTAATAAACTGTTTGATGGGGCTGATGTGTAAAGCTGTTCGAGTTATTTGATGTTTACACCTCAGGGAGCGTCTTGTGTTCAGCAATATTTAATGGTGTTAAATGTCTCTAACAAAAATGCATATTTTTTACAAATGCATCAATTTATTGTATTTGATGAATGAATAGCAGTTGTGTCCAACACTTTATGATGATAGAATAGAAATCACATCATTAGTTTGTAGCCAGTTTTGCATAGGTGGCTTGTGAACATGCTGAAAGGTGTACCAAAAAATTAACGTTTGTGGTCCTAATAGACTGAAACTCCATTGGAGAAGATTTAGGCTGAAATTGAATTAAAGCGTGTGAAGACTTCTGTTGCAATATACAGAACTAAATATCCCATATTTATTTACAAAAGGTTAGAAAAAATGTTTGGCATTTTCAGATTTGGTGATTACCTTTCTTTACTTTTTTGTTATGTCCTATTTCCAGATGCTCTGATAGTGTATACACAGATATATGTCAGCTAAAAGTAGGTATAAAAGAAATCCCTTAAAAAAAACCCCACAAAAAATAAAATTTCCAGCAGTTTCCTTAAGCAGTAGAATGCATATACATTCAGTATTCTGATGTGTGTATGCATATTCCTTGAATAATTAATGGAGTTTGTCCTAATAAGTAGATGGAGATCTGATGTACTCTACTAACTCAACAGTAGATTTACACTCATGTTCAGCAATATGTTGTTTGCATTATAACTGAGTTTTGTTGATAAAAATAGACTTCTCAAAATCTTACTTGCACCTGCCTAATTTCTCCTCCTTTCAAAGCTGTCAACATTTTAAATATTTGCTGAACTATTTCCCCAGATTTTACTGGTTCATGAATTAATGAAAAGTCTTTTTAATATATAATCAATATCATAATAAATTTGCTGAGATATGATATTAAATACAATATATATATATTTTGTAGCATCAAACTTGACTTTACAACCAGCCATAACTTGACAAGAAACCATGACCAGTCTTGGCTTTCTAATTAATATAATTGCATAATAGATAAGTTTAAAAAGCATCCTTGACACATCTACAGTTTTTAAAATAAATGAAGCATATATACTAAAGTGTACATATGCTTCAGTTATATACATAATGAGGTACATAATGTATTATCCAGACTTTAGTTTCTGCTTACCTGGGAATAAATCCCTTTGAAAGTGGAATTACATTTGAGTAAATATGCATAGTAATATGCTATCCACTTGTTATTGGCGGCACATGGAAGCACTCAAATTGCTGTATTGGTTCTATACACAATCCTGCTCAGGCTAGAACCACTGAAATAAAAATAATTTATTATGTCTCTCAGAAGTCTTGTCCAATGTGACTAAATTTACATTGTTGCAAAAGTCAGTTTATCATGTGCCTAGTTCAGCCAGTGCAACTTAACCTATAGACTTGCCTGTTTCAAACTAATGTATTTTAGTTGTTTATAACTGGAGTTGTATGGGTATGTTAAACTGTTCACTGAAGAGATTTTTATAACAGCTGCCTTTATCATTTTTGTACTTGGACATTCTCATGAGCCATTCCTGGTTTGTTTTATTGATCTAACACATTTTTATGTGAAATTGGCTTCTGTTAAGCATATTATTATGGGTCAGTTTATCCAATTAGTATGTGGAAATGTCAATATCTAAATTTGGTTTAGCCTCTGATTTTATTTGTGTGTGTGTGTGTGTGTGTGTATGTATATATATATGTGTGTGTGTGTAGATATATATATGTCTGTGTGTATAAATAAATAGGGAGTAGTTCAGAAGTAAAGATTGATTGAAGTAAAATATTAAGATGTTTGGGTTCATACAATCTTTTTACGTTAAAGTTACACTCTTAAGGTTTTGAGTTGTTTCCTTTGTGCAGAGGTGAATAGGAGTATAATCAGAAAATGGGAAGTTGGTCACATACTTGGAACGACTTGTTTATGTTGGGTGGTTGTCTCAGCTCTAAGAACTCCAGTGCAGTATACATTTTTAATTAGCTAGAATGTGGACAGAGAATCTGGACTAAAAACTGGAAAAACCAAAAGCTGAAGAAACAGCAGGTAAGTTAGATATGCATGGTGGATAAGTTTTTATTTGAACAATTTCAAGTATCCAGGAACCAAAATGAAAATAATTTAAAATCACAACTTACTTTTCTGTAACTTACTTTTTACAATTGAACAGTAGTGTTATTGCTGTATATAGTTTATGTTTTCTCCTCAAGATTTCCATTGCTGGCAATGGATTTGCCAAAAATCAAAGTATGAATGTTTTTTTGATAACTTTTTATATACGTAGTGTGAAAGTTTTTGATGTGTAGTAGTAAATAATCTTTAGAGTTTGTCTTGTGAGTAAAATTTTATTTTCCAATGGGAATTATTAGTTTCAATGAACATTTAAAGAAGTCCAAAGATATTAAGACAAATGAAGGCATTCCAGTTGTGATACGTCTGTGAGCAAACTCAGGATATATTATTGTGCATACTCACCAGACAGTAACAAAAACCTGGGTATTTTCTAGGCTCCTGTTGAAGTTTGTTTGGGTTTCTGTATTTATTCTGCTTTTGACAGGAAAATGTGTGCAAGTAGGTACTTGATATTTCTGTATATAGATGTCCTTAGATAAAATAGATAATATTTTATGTTTTAATCTATAAAAACGCAAAACACTGAACTAAAATAATTGATTAGATACGTCAATATCTGCTTGAATTGTCACATATCTTTAATGTGCATGGTTGCAGAGGGTGGTACCCCTGGAACTAATTCGAACTTAAGCCAGAACAGTAAATGTATTGATTAATTAGATAGCTTTTCTTTCAGTGTACTGAGCTAACAATACATATAGCTGGAAAGCTTTGTTTTTAGAGTAAGCATTCAAACTGAATACTAAGCAGATACGCACTGTCTTTTCTCATCTTTAAAATCTTGCCCATTAACTATCATGTGTCTAGCCAAACAGCCTGATTGCAAATAGTGCAATGGGCATGCAATGCATGATATTTATGTTTAGATTTCCCACTTAATTTTAGAGTGAAAATCCTGGTTAATTTTGAGATTGTGTGTGCTTGACTGTTTTTGATGATTCCTGGACTGTTTGGTTGTTCAAGTTTTGTCAAATATGAACTGCAGGTTTTAAATGTATATAACAACTTTAGTTTTAAGAACTCTTTTTGTAAATAATGGATAGTGGTTAGTTTCTCACTCCAGTTTCAGCTTACTACTAAGTTTTATATATAGGGTCTTATTATTCACATTGTTTACTTGTTTGATGTAAGATTCTACAGCCTTAAAATGCAGCTTTTAATGTAAAAGCATTAAACATACTCTGTAAAATGTGCATACTTCAACTGTTTGTCAATCTTAAAAATCTGAGAAGTAGGTAAAATTGTGTTAATGAAAACATTTTTATCTGATTTTGAGGAAGGAAGAATAGTGAAGATTCATTTAACATTTAGGTAGCTAATTTGAGAACAAGGTATTTTAAAAAGCACATTAGAAATATTTTATATAAGAAACTTTGATACTTCTTATGTATGTGTACATACAAAACCATGAGCAAACATACACATGCTTATGAGAACTATTAATACATATTCATTTCCATCAAATATTGCTTTCTCTCTTTGCAGTTGTAAATTATTAGTTTAAATAAAAATAATGCCACTGTATCCATATTACAAATGTAATGTAGATTATTTCAAGTTTTTTGGGTATAATCTTTCCATTCCCTACAAAGCCACTTTTGAGATGACATGCTCTGGAATAGCACATGAGACTGCAGCAGGGCAAACTGAAAGAATTTGATCAGACCATACTATATAAGCAGTAACATTTCTGTTTTCATACATTTTTGGTTCAACTTTTGACTGCAGATGTCTTCTGTGGTATATTCTTTTTTCCAAGTTCTGTCAGCTGAGATTTAATCCAAAAATACATTTAACATTAGAGCTTTGCTGCAGTTTGGATTTAGAAGCAAAACAGTGTTTCAGATAATGCAGAGGCACAAATGTAGTGCAACACCTTAAGTAAGTATATTTTTCTGGAATCACACACCTATTGCACGACCTTGGGAAAGGCACACAGGTACTTTGAAGAGTTGCAAACTGATGATACATTTGTGACTTGCGCACACTGAATACTTTTTTGCCTTTGAATTTGAAGTGCTGCAGAGCCCTACTTTCTCCATGGACAATGACTGCTAAAGAACCTATTCTTTTTTAGATCTATCTTAACAACTTTTTTATATTGTATTAAACTACAAGGACTAGAAGATTTGACAATTTTCTTCTAACTCAGAGACAATGATCATTGTAGTTATTGAGAATCTTATTAAGCAACATTTTCAGAACCTTCCATGAAATGTTAAATTAATCATCACTTAGGGTAGGATGTTCTGTATAAGGGGCGGGGGAATTGTCAATTGCCTTATGGGCAGATTATTAGGAAGTTGCTGCTGATGGTGGAAGGAACTAGAGCCAAAGTAGGCAGGTACCTCTTTGAAGAGCTCTTCCTTTATGCTATCCATTCTCACATCACACATCAGGTGCACTCTTGAAGCAGAGGAGGGAATGATTCTGAATTGGATTCCTAGAATAATTCACAATTGCTTTTCTTGGAGGTGAAATTAGATGCCAAGCAGCTATGATCTTGCTTTCCTTATTGATGGATTTGGCATGATTTAGAGACCTGGTTATTTTCTGTGATACACTGAGTTCCTATGAATTGACTTACTGTAAATACATTGTCTTGACAGCGGGAAGATTTAACGTTCATTTTATACTTCTTTAGTGCCTGTAGAGCTAACCAATTCTTCTTAGATACTTTTACATGGTCTTGGGTTGGATTTTGTTATGTCATCGTTTACACAAATGTTTACATGAAAGTAAAAGCACTGTGTATACTAAGGTTTTAAATTGGTTGGTATGTGTAACCAACCCAGGTTCTTTTGACTTTCTAATACCTGGCAGCTCAAGAACATCTTGAATGTGTTGAAATTTTGGAACTTAAATTGCTTCACAAGGTAAGAGGGAATAATGTCATACCAACATGTGAAATTTTATAAACCAAATCTCTGCCTCTAGAATTGGCTTTTAAAATTTCATTTCACTTCCACTTGATCGTTTGGTGATTTTAATTACCTTTATTTCTAGTCTTTAGGTGACTGTTAAGAATTTGGTATCAAGCCATTTGTTGGTTTTTTAACTGCAAAAGAAGTTACCTTGTATGGGGAAAAATAAAGCACATTTTTTATGAACACTTAAGTCTATTTTGTCTTCATTTCATGGAAACTATGGGGCTTTTTGAAGTTAAAGTATAAGCTGCTCTTACTGGAAAAACATGAAAAGTGACAAATTGATCAAAATATCTTGTGAAAAACAAAATGGAAAAGGTAATACTTATACCACTTTTTGTTCACTTTTGTATCAGTAGTTGTTGCTATGTAAAAGCACTATGAATTGTTAGTGTTCTCTGTACACTTATCTATGTAAAGAAAGCAACTATTTTGATGTCACTAGTTTTTAATGTTTCTGCTTTCCAACTGGTCTAAACTCTGTATTTGTATAATGGGAGAAAGAATGCATTTATTTCCAGTTCGGAAGTTGATCAGACATCTCTCTGTTCTCTTCCTTTTATACTTGACCCACTCTGTTCTCTTCCTTTTATACTTGATTATTTTAATTTCCTCCTCAGTTTTAAAATTTCTCTTAAAGCTATCTCTGCATTCCCCATCAACTCTATTTTGATCCTTCCTCTTTCTCCCACAGAAGATTTTATCAAATGCCCTTAAAAATCTTCTCAGTCTGCTAGCTCTTGATTTCCACCAACTATCCTGTTTTCTCCTGCAGAAAGAAAAGAAGAGCAGCTATATTCCAGATGAACCCTTTATGAGATTTAAATTAAATGACAGAATGGCAAAAGACTCAGATACTACCATTAAGTACAGAACTATGAAAATGTTTCCTTGGAACTTGTCAGTGTTGGTGGGAAGGGGAGAAACTCTTGAAGTTTAAAAGTAACAGCAGTTATCAATTAAAACAAATAGCTGAAGCTCACATATATATACAAGGTTAGATGCCAGAAAAACCCAACTGTTGCATTTTAAAATGATAGTGGGCTACTTTGAAAGGTGGGGTTGAAAGGTGGGGTTAAATGGTTTTACCAATATTAAGATATCACTAATATTAAGAATTCCATGTAGCATAACCTTCCTAAACTTAATGCTTTCTATCTGTTGGGTATGAACCTTTCATTTGAAGCTAGCATGGTGTTATAGGAGCATTAGTCCAACATACTTGGGGGAATAGTAGATTTGGAAAACTAATGCTCCTATACTAATGCTCCTATACTAATGCTCCTATACTAATGCTCCTATTATAGGAGCATTAGTCCAACATACTTGGGGGAATAGTAGATTTGGAAAGTCAGCTCCAATAATAGATAATAAAAGTACATTGCTTTTGCCTGTTTTTTAGGGTGTATGAACACATTAGCTATTACATTAGAAAAAAGCATCAAGTGGGGTGCTTCAGGAACAGTCCTTGTGATCATTGCTAGATATTTAATACTTCCATTCGTGATTTGGATGAAGAGGTAGAGGGAATGCTTATCATATTTGCAGCTGATACAAAATTAGGTGGGATCACTAATATCCTAAAAGGTGGAAATAAAATTCAAAGTGACATTGATAGGTTAGAGAAATAAGCTAAAAGTAGCAGAATGAAGTTAATCAGAGAAAAGTGCAGTATTGGAATAATGCTTGTGAAAAAGATTTTGGAAGAGAAGTTGATTGCAGACTGAATATGAGCCTGCAGTGTGATATGAATGCAAAAAAAAAGGGGGGGGATGCAATTTTGTATTAGTCAAACCCCACCTCCAGTACTGTGGCATCTTAGTTTAAGGAGGCTTCAGATAAAATGAAATCAGAGGAATTCAGAGAAAGACAATCAAGATAATCAGGACCAGAAGCTAAGAGTTATGGGGGGGTATGATAGCAACTCTTCAGATATCTGAAGGATGTTACAAGAAGACTTCATTCCACAGTGCAGGTTATAGATATGTTATGGGGAGGCAAGTTTCAATTGAATTTTTAAAAAAACCTTCCTAACAGTTTTGAATGCAGAATTAATTCCAGAGAGGTGATAGCTCCCCTATATTGGGTGTATTAAGCTACAATGTCATTTATCAAAGACATTTTTATTTGGATTCTAGCATTGACCAAGGGATTGTACTTGGTGGCCTAAGGTGGGTTTTTTGAGGGGGTGTCTTCGAGTCAGTCTTGGCTCCTGGCAACTGTCTGGACAAGTCCCTGCAGTTTTCTTGGCAAGATTTTGGAAGTGTTTTGTCATTGCCTTCTTCCTAGGGCTGAGAGAGTGACTGGCCTAAGGTCACCCAGCTGGCTTTGTGCCTAAGGTGGGACTAGAACTCATGACTCCAGGTTTCTAGCCTGGTGCCTTAACCACTACACCAAACTGGGTCTCTGATGAACTAAGTGCCCCCTTCCAATTCTGTGACTAAATGTAAAATTTGTGTGAACATCATTATATTAGACTCTCTAATTTTTGCCTAGGTTATTTCTGGTCACTAGCATAAGTGAAAAACTTGGTAAATAATAGTAGGTGAGATGTTTGTGTGCTATTATAGACTACTAATTTGCCTGCAGTGTTGAAATGCATAACAACCCAAGCAGGACCATTATATACCTAGGAAATTTGAACTATTTGACCTCCTATATTGACTAGCTTTATAAAAAAAAGCATAAGGAATAAAATACATGAAATGCATTTACAAAAGTGCACTGGCAGAGAGAATTTGTCATTTAACCATTTAACAATAATAGAACCCAAACTAGTTTAGTTTCTAATTGAGAAATAAAAGGGAAGTATCAATAAATTTCAGAAGGGTTTGCAGAAGTAACAAGAACATCCCAAAGACTGAAAAAGGATAACTTGCATGCCCATTCCCCTCTAATGACAATATTCTAGAAGAGAGACCTACCTGACTACAATGCTGAATGAAATTTGTGGCAGGTGCATGTCTAGTATAAATGGAAATGCTACTTAATGGTTTTTTTAAATTTGTCTAATTTATATAGCTGCTCTTCTCACAAAACCAGTGACTCGGCAGCATGCAACAGGGCTAAAACAATAAATATCTAAAACTATTGTTATTAAAAAACATTAAAAATATAAAAACAGCCAATACGAAAAATAATAGATGGGATGTTAATAATAATGGAGCCACCTCATTAGTTCACCCGTCCCCTGAGGTCCCCAGGCCTGCTGGCAGAACCAGGTCTTGAGGGACCTTCAGAAGTGATGAGGCAACTTCACTAAAGGGGGAAGAAGATTCCACAATGCAGGCGCCACAGCAGAAAAGGCCCACCGCCTAGGGCCTGCCAAATGTTAGCTCCCTTGACAATGAAACTGTAACACCCTCTCTCCTGGATCTGGTGGGAAGGACAGATGAAATCAGGGAGAGGTGGTCCCTCAAATAGCCTGGCTCATGCCATGAAGGGCTTTAAAGGTCAACGTCAGCACCTTGAATTGGACCCAGAAACAAACTAGTAACCAGTGCAGCTCAAGAAGCAGAGTGTAACGTGTTCTACCAGTAACACACAATTGCTTGCGCCACTGCATTTTCCACCAGCTGAAGTTTCTGGATACTTTTCAAGGGCTGACCTACGTTGAGCGCATTACAGTAGTTCAACTGGGAGGTGACCAGGGCGTGAGTGACCATGAGTAGGGTCTCAATCTAAGAATGGGTGCAATTAGTTATTAATGTTAGTATATTGGTTAGGAAGTATAGCAATTCAAAGCCTAAGATAAATGGATCTGTTGTAGATCATCCTATTAAACTGATGGCTTTCATATATAAAAGTTTATTAGGTTACAATAACAGTGTTGCTAGTGCTTTAGTGTAAGTTGACATAGAAGAGAATATGTGTAGCTCGGGGTTGGGCTGTGGAGTCTTTGGGGTTCTCTGAGCTTGGTTTTCTGCACTGAAGATGTTACCTAGCCGGGTAACGAAACATTTGCATGAGAACAACCAAACTCAGAAAACTCCAAGGACTCCACAGTAAGTCAAAATGCTAGGTATGTTTTTTGAGAAAGGGGTTTGGTATATACAGTACACGTATTCCTCCTGAAATACAGAATTCAAATAGAGGTTTCTCATAGTATGCTAACCCGTGGATTAAGGAAACTCCCGAAGGGCATCCCAATAGCTGCCAATACCTAAGAATTGAGTCTATAATCTCGCATTTGCGTTCCTAAGTACAGCACCTTACAACCAGCACGACTGCACTGCAACGCACTACTAGAACAACGCAACGCACATGAAGAAGGCGCTTTTGTTTTCTCTTTCATGCCTTTCATTTCACTTTTACCTCCGGGTCGCGAGACCAAAGCGGTGAGAGACCACGTGACGTGCAACAATCCGCTGCTCTGTGGTGGAAGTGGGAGGAGACGCGTCGAGACCGCGTTAAATTGATCTCACCCGGAAGCTGTTGCGTGAGGGTTATGGGCTCCGCCGAGAACGCGGACGGCGGGTCCGGGAGAGAAGCTGGGGGTTCGCTGATCTCGCCGGCGGCGACTCCTCTTCCTTCTCTGGCGAGCGGGGAGGCAGGCAGATGAGGCCGGCCTTGCCCTAGCTGCGCTAGAGCGGCGCGAGGAGCCTTCCCTTCCGGTGCAATATGTTCAAAAGAATGGCTGAGTTCGGGCCTGACTCTGGTGGGAGAGTGAAGGTGCGAGTGGCGCTGGCAGGGGGCTTTTCGTCGACCGCAAACGATTTCTCTGCTCCTCCTTCCTGAGGGCAGTTTTAAGTCCCAGGGCGATTGCAGGGTTCCAGACTGGCATAAGATCACGCATTTGGCCCCTTGAGTGGGTTCGTTGCGAGGGTCCAAGCGCGGTACTGGTTGATGTGAGAGGCTTTCGAGTAAATGGTTCCGAAGGAGGGAGCCGTGTTGTTGCTGCAACTAACTGCGAAGGGTCTTCTGCACCTCAGAGACTTAACGAATTTATTTTCATACAAGATTTCGGGGGTGATGTCCGCTTCTGTACCGACTGGGTGTAAGGCGGTTTCTTGCATGCCTTCTGGTCTGTTTTTGTTGTTGTTGTTTAAGTCGCTGTAATGCTTTCCTTGGAAAGCGATGTTTGTGCCTGCACTTACCTTTTCTAGTTTTACACAAAAATTTAACTCTCCGTAAATTTAATCTCTTCGTTGCTTTCCATTGGCGTTGCTGAATTAGCTAATCGCTT